TATATTTGCTTTAGGGTTTAATGATTAGCGTTTTGGGTTTATATTTCTTTTTAGGGTTTAGTAATTAGTGTTTTGGGTTTATATTTATTTTTAAGGTTTAGTGATTAGTGTTTTGGGTTTATATTTCTTTTTAGGGTTTAGTGATTAATGTTTTGAGTTTATATTTATTTTTACGGTTTAGTGACTAGTGTTTTGAGATACTTTTTTTTTTGAAAGGTTTGGATTGACTTTGGGGTAAGCAACGCCTCATTCCTTGCTATATTTCATGTAAAGTCTCAATTGTACTATGTTATTTGAATAATGTATACTATACTATTTCGTTTGTTATACTATTCTATTGTAATAATTATTTATCTTATGTATTGTGTGCATATTTTGATATTTGTTTAGGGTTTATAGTTATTTTTAGTTTTTAGTGATTAGTGTTTTAGGTTTAGTTTATGAATGATTTGGTTTGATTTTGGGGTAAACATTTTTTCTTTCTCTGTAATCATATACATTTCAAAATTTGAACATTAATATGTACTATACTATTTCGTTTATTACTATTCTATTTTGATAATGATTTATATTATGTACTATGTACATATTTGATATTTGGGTTAGGGTTTATATTTGCTTTAGGGTTTAATGATTAGCGTTTTGGGTTTATATTTATTTTTAAGGTTTAGTGATTAGTGTTTTGGGTTTATATTTCTTTTTAGGGTTTAGTGATTAATGTTTTGAGTTTATATTTATTTTTACGGTTTAGTGACTAGTGTTTTGAGATTAGTTTATGAAAGGTTTGGATTGACTTTGGGGTAAGCAACGCCTCATTCCTTGCAATTATATACATTTCAAATTTGAACATTAATATGTACTATGTTATTTCGTTTATTACTATTCTATTTTGATAATGTTTTCTATGTTATTTGAACTATACCATTTAGAATGTACTATTCTATTTACACTGTTTATCTTCTTCAACAACCTTATTTTTTTCTCCGATCCTTGCAGTCAAAGCATAACCAATATCATAGTTGTAGTAATCTTTGTTTGAAAGATGATTGTTATTTTTTATTGACAACCTCTATTTCATCCGTAATTATTCTTCCCATAGTTACCATCTTCATAATTACCTCCGGTGAGATAACTAATATCATTGTTCCGATAATCACTACCGCCACCATATTCACCGCAAGTATTGATCATAATTTTTTTTTTCAATTACTGGCAACCGGCTTAAAAGAAGGACCAAACCGGAAAACTATTGCACAAATGCTATGGGATCTAATAACGTCAAAATCAATGCTATATTCTTAATTTGTTGGTGAAATATAGCTAGTTGGCAAATAAGCCCTTGGAATTTTACGTGTAAATGCATTATACTGGTGAAGATAGTAATAGTTTGATCATGCTACAACAGAAATTTAGGGCATTTTGAATTTAATGTTCCTCTTAACCTCCTCCACTCCGTCGTGGGTGAACATGTATTCTCCCAGTCCAATCAATCACCCCGTCTTATGATTCAACAATCATATGAGACATATATGGTACCAGATTCTCTCCGTCAAAAGAAGAAGAAGATGCCAGATATCTACAACAGCTATCGATCTTCACGCTCACCCAGAACACTTCTCCTTGACGAAAAGCTCCTCAAGCAAAATTCACCCAGAAAACTTTCGATCTTCGATGAGATTACTGTAGAGGATATTTCGGTCATGGAGGCTTTTTTTTTTTTATCAATGTAGGTGTGGGGATTACGACGATGATGTCGTTCGAGTTCGGAGATTGGGTGCTTCCTTGTGGATCTTGTTCTTTGAAGAAAACCAGAGTTTGGGTTCATTCCGATATCAAGATTCCTCTAGCAATGTGATGATCAGGGTTTAGGGTTCAGATATGTACAGATTCTGTTTCAGGATGATCCTTTGCTCATCTCTAGGTTGATTCAAAATTGAGGGATCTGATATCTCTTCAAGGTGATTCTTGAATATGTGGCCTAATTTTTCGGTTATAATTGGCAATTTTGCTTGTACAGATAATTCAAAAGTCTTTTTAGTTGAGGCAGTCTTCTCGTGTTAACTTGTGCTGAATGAACATTTTTTCTTTGTTTTTAGAATGGGAATGGGGTTTAGGATCAGTTTTGTTTTCAATTTTTTAATCACAACCACCACTTGCTGCAGGGTAAAAGTTAAACTATGAAACGCTGATGAACACTTTTGGGCGTAAGATAAACCAAGAGAGGGGCCATAGCTCACTAGATAGATTACCAAGATTCTTCAGGTAGCTATCTATCATACGCTCTACCAATGTGTCAGCTCTGAACATCTTAAGGAACTAGCTAGGGACAAGCTGTACATACTTTTTTTATTGCAATATATAACATCTTACAGAGTGTCGTTCTTATCCATCGTTTACAGCCCCATTAGTATATATATGAACTGAGATAATACGAAGATAGAGAAAATATTATTTGATCCCATGGGCCTCTAGAGTGGATAGAATTTCCGGAGGTCCACCATTCTCTTCCACATAGGAAATGTTAGGGCTGTCTCGTGGAACTACGTCTTCTCTTTTGAAATTTTCTTCACTGCGAAGAAGCTTCTCACTGTCAGATCCCACTGCACCTTTTAGAATGATGGTTTTGTGGAGACCACCCAGCAAGTCTTCATAGTCTGTGTCTCCCTTCTCTCCAAGAAATATAATAGACTTTGACATGTCTATTCCCCACCTTATCGATAGATACCTACATAAAGGCCATCAAGCTGTGTCTGTGAGATCATGTTTTGCACATAGCGTATATGGTCTTTACAGTAACTAACCTGACTGCTTGTATTCTTGATGCACATAACGGTATAACATTTAGCCTTGTTGCAGCATGTGTATAGACAATGTTGCACCTTAAACCTCTCATCCTAAGCCTCTGCCTAAGGTCATCAACTCTTCGAGTCTGCCATTCACACACATTGACATTAATATTTTTTTTAAGCTGTCCTCATGTTGAAAAATATGTTTTTCTGTTTTAAAAAGAGTTACCTCGGCTCCTTGTTTCACAGAAATAGCATAGCACCTAGTACTGCATGCGCTTGTATACTCTGTGATGTCGTCTTCTGTTTCAGGTTCTGTACATGCAAGTCTCAGAATCACTGACCTTATACTTTCACCAGGCCATTTGTATTCCACATGAGCTTCATAGTCTGCATCAACCTCCATATCTCTCCATGGATAGTAGATCTCACTTCCGCTGTTACAAACTATTGCATCAAAATCTTCCAAATTAATCAGGTATTTCTTTGTCATCTCCACAACTTCTTGCACGCTTGAACCTGTTGCCAGTACAAAACCTATATTTCCTTTGCCCGATGTCAAACCTGCAGCTTTCATTACATTCTTGATGATATCTTCCATAATCGCTTTGATGTCTCCATTGTCATCGTAGGAATCAATAGTAATCACAAAGAGCATCTGCCTTCTACCAGGGCTGTAGAGAACAGATGGACTAGCCTTCATAGAATTCATTTGACTTATGGCGTTGACTAGTTTCCTCTGTCTAGTGCTTGCATCTAGTTCCCCATTGAGCTTTAAATCTCCATCCATTGAGAATCTCAAAGATATGTCATCGACATCACCTAGAGAATCACTTATTGGCTCTTCTGGAACTTTCATAATATCTAGACTACTTGTTGGGTGTCGGTTTCTGCAGTGTTCGACATGGGAAAGGTAGTTACGGCAGTGCTCTGGCCATGAGAAACGGTGGATGTTCTTGAGCCCGTTCTTTCTGCACTCGGCCCAGAGATGTTTGTTAGAAACGAGCTTTAGAAGGGCATCAGAAATGGCTTGTTGATCATGTGGGTCGACTAGGAGGCCATTGTTTAGTGCCTGGTCACAAGCAAATGTTAAATTAGCTTTTCGGAATCAGTGAGGTGTGGTCTGTACGCTAGTTGTTTTTAATAAGAAATTTGATTACCTTCACGATATCAACAGGCCCACCATTTTTGGTGGCAACAATGGGGAGACCATAAGCAGCTGCCTGTCATACATAATAAAAATGGTGGAGCATGAAGATCTTAGAGGAGGTGAAGAAACATAACCTCGGAATCTGGTCATAGGTGATAGTTACCTCAATGAGCGTGAGACCAAACGGCTCTACCAGAGCTGGATTAATGAAAACTCCCTTCAAGAGAGAAAGCCACCATAATATATAAGAAGGAGCTACGAGTCCAGGTGAATTATATATCTTGCTACTTGAACGATGAGGAGGCAACCTCAAGAGTCATATTGTATTATAGGATTAAGTACCTTTGTTTTGGCTGCTAAACGATAAATGTCTGGAACTTCAGATTGTTTGTGATGCTTGGGATAAGCTACTTGGCCGTACAAGTCATACTGGTCTATCAGCTTTAGTACATTCATGAGAACAACTGAGCTGCTATTAGACATCTCTTCAATATCATCTCGATTTCCTAGTATGAGTGTCTGGAACAGGTTTTTATTAATTAGCAAGACAGATGTGCCCATTTATAGGTAAGAAATGCTGCGATACTTACCAAATTGGCTAGTTCTCGAAGAGGCTGACATTCACCAAAAGCTTTGAGCAATGTAGTGACGTTTTTCTTGGGGTCAGGTCGAGACAGCGCAAGTATGGTTGGTTTATGAGGATTTGTGAAAAACCGCATTATCTGTAGATTAATAAGTTTCATGCAGTTATTTGTAACCTTTCTTTCTTTCTTGCAAGACATTGGATATGACTTGTTGTTAGAAATACCTCGGACCATATTGGAGGAACAGGCTTTTTTATCTGGTTTCGGTCAGGACCAATTAGCGACTTGAGATCTGCATCAGCATCCTGTGAATCTTGTGTCAAGACGTAACTGAAATCCATGCCTGGTGGTATAACCTGTTCCCACAAAGACAGGTAAGATGGGTACTTCAGTTTACTTTTCATTTGTACTTGATTATAGTTTATATGATAAAAGGACTCATACCACCATTCGTGGCATGTATCGGCCAAAGCAGCTGACTCCACGCCGTCTTCTAACCCTGAGCTTCCTCTCAAGCTTGATATCAAACCCATCATACAGTCCCCACTGCGCCTCAATCTCTTGCCGTGTGCTTGTCACCACCATCTCTGCTGCATCTAGGCTCAGCTCTTCAGCTTCTATTCTCCTCATGATCTTGTATGTTTTGTTGATATCCTCTCTGGTATTTCTCCCTTGTTTAAGCAACTGCTCAAACTTGTTCCTTCCCAAAGAGTGACCAGTTAACACCATCGGCACATTCAACGTCCCTGCCAAATGTGCAGCTACTTCTCCTGCATCTGCATAGTGGCCATGAATTACATAAGGCCATATAGGCTTCCCTCCATTCACTTGCTCTCCCAGAGACCTTGCTATGTCCACTATGTGATTTAGCGCCCCATCAACAAACTCATGAATATGAGGCCAGAGTGACTCCTTTGGTATGTACCTGCATTTGAAAAACATTGAGTATTAGAGAAACTAGATTGCTCTTTTTTTAAAAAGAATCTAAATACATAATTTCTAAGGAGTGTTATGTGAGACAGTACTTGTCCCGGGAACCACAGGGGATTCGGATAATGTAGGAACCACAGCTTCCGCTACCTTCTGGTGGGCATGATAACATCTCAACAGGCTCTCCATAGCTTGAGTCAACCTCTGGTGAACTGATCTGCCGTGTTAAGAGATCGACTCTGTGGACACCTTCAGTGTTGGCCAAAGCGCGAGCAAGCTCAACAACATATTTCACCTAATCGGCCATTAACAAAACAACATGTGAATAATTTATGCTTTACAGAGAAGTCTACTACAAGATGGGTAAAAATACCTGGCCGCCAGTATCAGAGTCTCTTCCGAGCTCCATGTTTTCTCCACGCACCAGTCCATGCATACTGCAGTGGGGGGCAAATTATAAAAGGCACCTGGTAAGAGTCTTAAGAGAATCTTGACAATACAAATATGCTAAAGCAACTTCTACTTGCCTGATTAAGACAATGTAGAGGTTTCGACTTGATTTATCATCTTCTGACCAAATTTGCATTTCAGAGCGGATACGAGGCATATTATCTCGGGTTGGCTCCAGAGTCGTAACAACGTCACTCTTGTCCTTCTCTCCTTCAGAAAGCTCGGAAAGATCCTCTTCTGCATCATTCCTGCCTTGTTCACGTTCATCTCTTCGTTTGGAAAGTCTGATCCCATCATCCCATACAATCTGTGGATGGAAACTAAACTCATAACTAAACCTTTTCTGTATTTCTTATTCATCAAAGAATGAAAAGCTTGAATCATTGTAAGGGAAACAAACCTGCTTCTTCTTGCGTGCAAGATGCCATATACGCCAGCATATATTCTCAAGCCTGTTACTGCGTTCACGAGTATTCCTCGTTGCTATCACCTGCCACATAGAAGTTTAAAAAGATCCCTCCACCATCACTCACAGGTATTTTGTAAAAAAAAAAACCTTTTGTTTTGCTAAAATCATTTTTGAGGTTTTTAGTATTTTACTCTTCATATGTTTTTGTTGGATGGTTTTACTATCTATATACACTTTAACATGGTTTTACTTCCATAATTGTTGGAGACTATATCCGATTTGTATATTTTGTGTTATATCATTGATATAAAGTTATAGATTGAGGATCAAACCTTAATCCATGTTTTATACAGGTCAGACTCATCAAAGCTGTTGACAACCTCTTCCACAAAGTACTTGATGGGACTAAACACCTTCTCTTGAGGATCCTTTCTATTCATGTCTCCAAGCTTCTGAACGATCTTTGAGTTGCTCTCAAACCTCTTTTTGTTGCTAGTTCCAACATCAAGAATAGCTTCCAGGTAACTGTTGATCCACTCATTTCTTGCCATCTCTCTGATTTTTGCACTGAAAAGTCCGTTCACAAAACTAACATAAACATCTGTAAACATATCAACAGAATGAAAAAGATTTTACAGCACTATACATACCGAAACTCCCTCTGCTACATGTGACAGAGGCGGAGACTCGGGGTACCAAACAAGAACTTGAGAGGCCTAGTTTTGGATATCAACTTAGCTTGCCATTTTATAATCTCATTCAAAAGGTCCCTCCTTTTTCTCTTTTTTTTTGTTTGTTTTAATTTCTGAATTTGTTTAGGAAAAGTTAAAAGAAAAAGATCTGGTGTGGTTCTGGTTCTCTATATTATCTCTCAGACGGGCATATTACAACGTCATGTGTTAACCGTTAAACTCTGGAAAGACATATATTCTGTCTTAATCTAAAAAGAATCTTCTTTAGTAAGGTTTATTTTTTTTGTGCATTATCAGATTCTCTAGTCGAATAAGAATCACCCATTAGCTTTTTGAGGTTCTTCTTCTTTTGTTTTGGGTAGAGATAGGAGAATAATGAGTGGCACAAGGCCTTTTCTCCATTTGTTCCCATTAGACTTGTTTCTATAGCCTCATGTTTTCTTGACTCTTGCTTGGCCATCCTCTCACTGAAAATTAAAAGTTTGTTAAGGACCATAAACCTCTAAATACTAAATCAGGAGTTCAAAAGTAACACGACTAAACCCTATAAAATGACCTTCTAAAAGCTTCATGTGAGTCCTACGGTTTTGCTTCAGTTAGAAGCATATTATGCTTTTGATTTCAGTGATTGAGAAAGATATGTTCAGTGTAATGATGTAATTTAGATGTTTATTTGAAGGTGGAGACGTGAAGAAAAGAAAGTTGAAGTCGTATGAGTATGTTGTTAGCTCTGTTTGGTATGTGTGAAATAGTGGAGCAGAGCATATTCCATACTTTCACAATATAGATACTTTAATTAGCTATTGTTGGAGAAGAAAGCAGTGCAGGAAATGGTTAAAATTAACCGAAATGGTAAATCATGTTGATGCTCATTTGCTACAATAATGTATCCACCCGTTTCTAGGAAAAAGCTATTTTCCCATGTCCTCTTTCGTTGGGAAAATCCAAATCATATGTGTATGTTAATGTCCATTTGCATTTGCGTCAATTTTAGATAGTTATAATACAAGAATAGAATATATTATTCGTGTGCACAAATGTTGGGAAAAGTGCACAACAATTGGAAAAATAATCATGGATATTTCTATCGTTCTAGCTAGCCAGATTATGTTTGAAAAACACTACAGTAAAACATCTATAAATTAATAATGTTGGGACTTAACAATTTTATTAATTTATAGAGATATTAGTTTACAAAAGTTTATTTTTTAGATTTTTTTTTCTGTTTTCGAATATTTTTTATTATAAAATTAGAAAATAATTGATTTTACCGTATACAAAATTTGAATTTTATATTGTTTTATTATCTTATTTGGTGTATATTTTTATGTTTCATAAAATTGTTATTGAGTTTTCGATGTAATTTTACTAAATATTATCAAGATATACTGAAATTTTAAGAAAAAATAGATGTATTTGCATTGTGAATATAAAACCAACAATATAATATTTAGTTTGTACTTATAAAAAAATATATAAAGATAAATTATTAATTTATAATTTTAATGCGACTAAATATTTACATGAAAATTCTAAAAATATTATTATCTTATTATTTTATCGATTTGTGTTATATTTTACACTGGTCCAAATTGGGACCAGCAAAATTTATTAATTTATAAAGATGATTAATTTATAGAGTATTAATTTATAGAGGTTTTAGTGTATTTTGGTCCACCAAATTCTCTTTTCTCCTTCTTCATTCTTTGTTAACATTTTTTTTTTGAGAAAGTTCTTTGTTAACATTTCTCATTCATTTATCTGAATGATTAAGTACGACAAATAAAGAGAGAAAATTTACCTCAGAGCTGAGAATTATAGGAAAAAGAAAGTACAAATATACTAAAACTAAGTATTTTATTCAGCCAAATAATCTAAGATTTATATGCTTATATGTTCAAAGTTCAAAGTTCAAAGTTCAAACCAATATTGTTTTAATGTTTTTAATTTTTTTTTTTAATGTATATGCCTATATGTTCAAACCAATATCGTTTCAATGTATTTGCGAAAATTGGGTTGGAATATTCAGCGCTGAGATGATCAGAGAAGCAAAGAGGATTTAGCCAATAAGACTGAATATATACAGTAATATTAATAAATTAATAAGACTGATAGTGTAATATTTTATTAATTAAGAAAATATTTTGCCTGATATGTTCAAACCAATATCGTTTCATTTTTAAAAGTGCAATAACCGATATATACAGTAATATTAATAAATTAATAAGACTGATAGTGGAATATTCAGCGCTGAGATGATATAGTGTATATGCCTATATGTTCAAACCAATATCGTTTCATTTTTAAAAGTGCAATAACCGATATATACAGTAATATTAATAAATTAATAAGACTGATAGTGTAATATTTTATTAATTAAGAAAATATTTTTCCTAGATTCATATATTTAGAATATTAGTTTAAATAAAATTTATAAAAAATTATGATCTTATATATTAACTAAGTTTTATAAATTTAATTTTTGTATTATTGTGTTTGTTATTATTTTATATTTTAGATTATTTTATACTTTTTGTATAACCAGGAAATATATATTTTAGGTGCATTTTTGTTATAATTATTAATTTATAGTACTAATAATATGATATTTATAGAATTTTTTTTTAATTATTTGATCAAATTGTGCTGAGGTAATTTGACTTAGAATGAGATTTTATTAATTTATTATATCTATTAATTTATTGATTATCAATTTTAGTTAGATATTATATAATCCATAAAATTTGGGCATTTGACTTCAGACTTCAAAAAAAAATATCTCAGTTCATTTTATAGTTACATTTTCTGTATATTGGAGTTTGAAATTATTTTAAAAAGATAAAAAAAAAAAAAGAAAGGCATCAGCACACTACCCCATAATGAATATCTCAAAGGAATATCCAAAAACGGGTAGGAGAAGCAAATTGTTGAAACATTTGTGACCATTCGACTCTTTCTACGATTCTTCTGCTTAAGTAAAGCTTTCACACCCATTATTCATAAATTTAAGATAACGTCCACTTGGCTCCTCATTTTTATTTATTTGGAGTTGATCATAACAAAAATCGATGCTCACCGAAAGAGACCTGGCATCCTGTACTCTTATTGTGACGTCTTCTGAATATTTTTGAATCCTGTATATAAAATTTCGGAAATAGAAGAAACTTTATCATTATTATTAGCTGCACATTATGAGAGAACTAATAGAAGAAACTTTATCATTATTAGTAACTGCACTTAACATCACGAAGTGAAACAGCTTGAACACTAGTGTGTTGATAAGGTTCAACAATGTTACATTCTAAAGAAGAGAGGAAGAGGGTTGAAGCAGAGGAGGCGCCAAAAAATCAGAAGGAGTCGAGAACAAAAAAGTAACCTTTTGTCCTTAAAAGGCAGATACTTGTGTGTTGTTATTAGGGATAATATATCCCACATTGGGAAATCAAAGGGACCTTAAGTAATATATAAAGTGTTAAGACCAATCCAGTTATTACCAATTGGTTTTAAGTTGGAAGCCCATAATAAACTCGAATCTAACATGGTATCAGAGCGGAAGATCTTGACCTGCTCTAATTCTTTAAAAAAAATTTCTCTACTAAAACATGTTTCTAAAGAAACATGGCCGATAATCAAACATTGGCATCTCAAGGCCCCATCTTAGAGGCTGCCAGAAACTCTCCATACTATCTCCATCCATCGGATAATCCGGGGACTCTTATCACCTCTGTTCTACTTAAAGGGGACAATTATATACATCAAGTCAGAGATTCTATCAACACATGTCAACAAAATGGATAGAGTGTTATCGAATACTATGGTTGCTTGACTAAACTCTGGGAGGAACTTGATAATTTAAAGACAACGCGAGCGTGTACTTGTGAAGCAGCGACATACATAGAGAAAGAAAGAGACGAGATCCGAGTACACAATTTCTGTTTGGTCTTGATGAATCACGTTTCGGCACCATACGCTCCCAGATAATAGACGAGGATCCATTACCAGATATCAACAAAGTGTATTCTTGCGTGATCAGAGAAGAACAACACAACAACTCCCGACCTGCAGAAACGAAAACATAGGCGATTGGATTCTCTGCTCAAACAGATTTAACTTCATCATCTTCTTCAAAACCAGATCCTCTCCAGGCTGCAGTGGTTCGAAGTCGTGATCCTAATAGAGTATGTACTCATTGCTCTCGTACCGGTCATGAGAAATCAGAATGCTTTCTGTTAAATAGTTTCCCGAAATGGTGGAATGAGCAACCAAGGAATAACTCAGGTGGAGGATCATATACTCAGCGAGGTCGTGGAGGACGCTACTCTAACAATCGTGGTTGTGGGGGTCGTTCCAATACAACTCGAGCAGCAACCAATAATGCAACATCATCAACCCTCAACAACGATCAGATCGCTCAGATCATTCAGCTCTTGCAGTCCTCTCGTTTGAACATATCATCTGAAAGATTAGCTGGTAAAACAAAATTGTCTGATATCATAATAGACACTGGTGCTTCTCATCATATGACAGGGAACCTATCACTTTTAAGTGATGTCTCAGACGTTCTACCCTCTTCGGTCAAGTTCCCAGATGGTCGCTTTTCACAAGCTCTCAAGAAGGGCACACTTGTGCTCAGCCGTGATTACAGTTTGAAAGATGTTCTATATGTCCCGGATTTCACCTGCACCTTAATCTCAGTGTCTTGCTTACTAAAACAAACCGGTTGCATAGCTATTTTTACTGATACTTTGTGTGTCTTGCAGGACCGTTTTACGAAGACCATGATTGGAACGGGTGAAGAACGAGAGGGGGTTTATTATTTCACGGGTGTTGTGGCTGCTAGTGTTCATAAGTCTGCATAC